ATTGAACACAGTAGTATCTTTTTTTACATTCAGGCCTCAATCAAAAGTTTGTTATTTAATATCTTTTGATCAACTCTTCCCTTTGCCACTTTTATCCCCTTTCTGAAACCTGCTCCATAATGGCCAAGGCTCCAGAGCTTCTACTATTTATGTGACATTTCTAACAAGGTGTCCTATCTAGACACGCTAAATTAGGAACATCAAATATATCCTATCTGTTCTAGATGCAAGAGCAACTTGGCCCAAACAAACCTGCACCCCAACCCTTCAATCAGCCCCACCCTTGCTAGTGTTACAATTCTCCTTAGCAGTTTTTTTCAAATTCATTTGTTCTTTGCACTCATTTATTCATTCACCAAGTATTCTTTGAATGCCTGCTCTGGGTCAGGCACTGCTCTAAACAGTGAATAAGTCAGTATGATCCCTATCCTCAGAAAACTTGTGGTTTTGTGGAGCAGATGAAATTTTAAAATAAACACACATGTCAATATATACGATTGTAACTAAAAGATGTTCTTTGAAGGAAAATAACAGTGCTATGAGCATGAAGAATGTGGGTGGTAGGGGCGGGAGAGGGATGTATAATTTAGATGAGGGCAGTGATTAAAGATGGATTCCTAGGGCAGTGACATTTAAACTGAGGCCCAAAATATGAGAAGAGAGTGAACACAGGGATTAACATGTGCAAAATGCCCCAAGGTGGGGGATAGAAAGGAAAGGCTTGGTACTTAGAGGAACTAATAGAACAACTGGGCGCTAGAGTATAGTAGAGTATGAGGAATGAAGCCTGATGGCGGGAACTATACCCTGGGTGACCTCGTAAGTCCAGGGTGGGCACTGAACGCTCATACCAGCCCTATAAATTCTGTGATTCTGAAATAGGCTTTGCTCTTCCTAGTTTGAGCTTTAGAAACTTAGGGTCTGATATCTGGATTCATCCACCTGCACTTGGGCCTAACCTGAGGTAACCACACAGAGGCTGCCCACATCCTTTCTCCCACTCCCAAACTCTTCCCCACCTTGACCCATACCCACACCTTGCTCTGGCCCCAGCTGCAAAAACAGGCTATCCAAGAATGAGCATAGGTTTTCATCTTTCCTGGGACAAGGTCCTTGAACTCTTCCATCATTACGCTGGTCAATGGGAAAAGACCTAATTTGCCATCACAAAAGGAACATTTTTATGGAAAAACTTGAAAAGGGCTGCATTAGAAATGCTAAATCTAAAGACTTTTAATGTCAAAAATAAACTTTCTCATTTAATTCTAGACCAATCTTAGGTCCCAGATCCCTCAGAAAGACCTCTGACCCTTAAACAATTAAGAGGAATAATGAGAGTAATAACGATCACTCTCATCTAAATCTCAAAATCCCTTGTCATTGGATTGACTCTCTTGGGTCAGGAGAGAAAATAAAAGGCCCTTTTGACTTAATTTAATGCAGCTCTAGACCTCAGGTAGATAGATCCTTAGGGTGCTGGGGACAGGAAGAGAACATTTTAATCTTCAATTGAGACGCTCAAAGTCCATAGCAAGAAAGGGGCCCCAATCATCTTTGTAAGTAACGAGTGGCTCATTTATAGGTGATACTAACCACACATGTCCCCCATTAGCATGAACAAATTATTCTTGCCAGTTCAGTTATTCCCTGGCAGCTGAAGGAAACATGTGCTGCTCATGTTAATATATTTCAAACCGCTTCATCAAGGGAGAGGATAATGGGTAGATAATTGTAGATGTGGGGGGTAGGTACGTTGAGTATACTACTCATTCTACTTTTGTATATGTTTGAAAAGTACCATAACCATAATGTTTTGCCTTAAATGTCAGTCCTTTTATCATTATTTAACATCTTCCCACTCCCCCAACCAAATAGTTTTCTATGCTATGCGACAAAATCTCAATTGTCTGTCATTAGCAGCTGAGCTGGCAACAGATAAAAATCTATTGTTTGACAGTTATAAAAAAAACAAAAACACACCTTTTTTAACTCAAACTTTCATGCGTGAGAAAAGAAACTCAGATGTCTACTCTTAATTTGTACTATTTCATTTTCAATAAACAATTTCAGAATTAGACCTACTGGGACCAGGAAGGGGAGTGCCAAATAGACATTACCATTCTCATTATCAAAGCAATGGCAAAGGCACTTCAAAAAGAACTCAGATCCTAACTGAGAAAGCCTGACTTTGGTAATGTGGAAGACAAACAGTGGAACTAACTCACTTTTGGGACAAAGTATGCTTCCCAACCCTCAATGCTCCCCAAAATAAGCCTGGATCACCCGCCAACCCTAAATGCTCTTCAAAAGAAGCCTGGATCAATCAACAGCAAATTAAACCACTGAGCTTGGAAGTAATGGTTTTGATAGAACCTCTTGGGAAAATTCCTGGAAATCTCCAATCTAGAATCTTCCTTCAATATTGATTAGAAGATTGAAGCATGATCCACAGGATTTTATCTGCCCACGGGAATGTCTGTTTCCAAACAGCTTCTTGAACCCACATAATGATCCAAGTAGGCATAGGGGAAGGACACCAGGCTTCAGCATCAGTAGCATCCCAGTTTTACAGGATTTCACACTAGAGGAATGCAGTGGATACCGAGCTGTGGGAACTGGTGCCTCAGTTTCCACATCTACAAAATGATAATAATAGAGGTCACTAGGGAAGTTAAATGAGACAGTGCATAGGAAGTGCCTGGCACAATAACTCATACATTGGAAAAATTCAATAAAGACTTTTGGTTTTTGCAAATCATTTGATTACTTACCACATCTTAAAAAGCTGACCACATCTTAGCATGATCCAGACAAGTCCACTCACCATGCACTCCAAACCCTTGTCCAAGGTAAAAATGTCTTTCCAAACACAGGGCAATAAACTCATTTTATTTTGCTTTTGAAATAAGAAAATATTAGCATAAATATTTCATCTATGAAATTGCAATTGAACAAAGAGCCCAATCATACAGTGTATCTACAAAGTTAGATAATGTCTTCTGCTTTTCTATTCAGATAATTCCAAAGTAGAACTTACAGTAGTAGAAAGAAAAATTTAAGATGTAAAATTATCCCACTACAATTTTGTTCTTGATTCCACAAAATACACCATTCCCATGAATTTCTCAGTTTTAAAATAAACAGTATAGGCACATGGAACATTAATAGTAAAATTCTGTGTAGATATGTAAAATAGTAGACCTTAAGATGTACATTTTTCTTACTGTTTTTCTAAAAATGCTGCTTCAAAAGAGAAAGCAAAATGCAAATCTACACATGTTTAAAGTCAAATCTCCCATACAAAATCTTTAAAAGTTCCTTATCATTATGCTCATTTTTCATAAGTACTTATAATACTTCATAGGAATTATATTGCAGAACCTCATAAAATTTGGTTGTGATTATGATGAAAAAATATGTATAAGAACACTTGTAACTATTTATATTTTTTAAAATCTTTAGGCTTGAAAATTCAAAAAATGATATTTAGGGCAAAGTGCTATTTCAAACAGATATAACTTCATTTTAACTTTGACTTTTTACAGATATCTTCCAAATATTTTTAAAATTACAAATGACAAAGTCAATGGGGTGCAAAACTAAATTCTTAAACTAAGTAAGGAGAAAACAGATAACATTTAAATTTCTCTTTTGAAAATAACTATGAAATACTACCATTTTCTCTTATCACATCCAGTCAGTATTTCATTCTGAAAGCAATGTATTAACATGTGATTTTATGAAATAGTCCAGTGATAGGCAAGCTCTCTTGCTGAGCATACACAGTAACCCAGGATCTTCCTTATTGCTGTTTTCCTTACCCCCAGCACTTGCGAGGCCTCATAGGAGACAGTGGATTAAATAGCCTTCAGGATCAAAAAAGTTCCTTGACATTTGGATTTTAAACTACAGAATGATTAAAATTGATTGCATAATTTGCCCCTATTTACAGGTGTGACATGATGTGGGATTCAGGATTATAATTCTTTAGACTTAAAATGGAGACAAGCTGGGGGATCTGGACATTTTCTTCCCTCCATCCCTTCCCTCTTCAATCTGAAGACTCAGAAATTATCCCAAACCACAGAAAAGTAGAGTATTTGAGGGTGAATAAACTTCTAATCTAATAAGTAGATTTCTAATTATTATCTGTAAAGAGATGAAAAGCAGTGGACAATGGAACAAGAATTAACACAGCAAGAAAATAATCTCACCTTTAGAATATCTCTAGGATAATATATTTCAGATAACTGACCCTCTCCAATCCTCTTTTGGGCAATGATGAAACTAAATGTCTGATCTGCAAAGAAAACTCTCACCAGAGACCTGCTGATTCAAGAATTCAATTCCTGCACAATTGGAATACTGCCAACATTTTTTCATCCTAACAGGAATGTGTCTGCAGTTTAAGAGCTTTTTCCCTAAAGGTAAAAATGAGAAGTTTTGGTATTGTTAACATTTCAGGTAAGATTGAGAGGTTGTCCCTGTGCCTGAGGATGTTCTGCTAAATTTAGAATAAGTATTATATGTGATGGTAACAAAGGTGAGAGCTTGGGACTCAGTCTCAGGAAAAAAGCTTTCAGTTTTCCAGTGGACAATTTCAAATAGATCTTACCAGCCACCCTTTAAGATCTATTCCAATCATGGCATTCCATGATTATTTGGATTCTCAAAGTGGTGTCTACCCTTGAGCAGAGGCAAGGGCTGGCTGGAAGACTAAGAGAAAGAAAATGAGTTTCTTTCTATATTAGTCACCACCTTTTGAAGAATCTCAAGTATGCTTTAACAACCCCAAGTAAAACCCTAATGAGAAACTCCATCATAAAAAAGGTATGGCATCTTCTCTCTCTACCACCACACCCAAGCTGACCTTCCTTCTCCAAATCAGACAAGGTAAGCAAAGCTACACGTTAATGTTTCCATTTTCTTTCTGAGGAGGGAACATGAAGGGGCTGAGACTGGATCAAAGCTGCTGCCCGGTGTCATCTGCTTTGGTTATGCCTTGAAATTATCCCTAATTACAGCTAATTATATCAGTTGTGTCCTTACATTTCTTATAGAGCCATGCCCATTGACCAAAAGATAGGAGTTCAGTTATGAGTACAAATCCCAAATGAGAAGCCTCTGGGCTAGTCCAGCTTTCTTTATTATGTGCTATTTTCCCTTAAAAATATTAATACGGTAACGAAACAATAATAATTTCCCTGGAAGGTAATACTTCTGCCAAAATAAAAAGTTTCAGAAACATGAAGAATCTGGTGGCCCTACCTCTCTCAAACCTGAAGATTCTGGGGCTCAAGGTCATTGGTCACGTGGGACTGTAACCAGGCACTGCTGTAGCCACAGACTCCCCATGTTTCTGATCTAATTCTCTTGTCACAGAATAAGCCACTGCTCCATTGGTCCATAGCTGCAGCTTGGGATCAGATTCTTTGGCAATGAACTGCAGCTGGGTTTTTCTCATTCTCTTTACAAGTCTAGCAAAGCCAAGCAACACAGAGCTAAATATCATTGAAAATCCACAAAGGAGGAATGCCGCAGTGTAGCTGCCAGTTGTATCTACCAGCCATCCTGTAACAAACAACAGCAAAATTATATTGTTAAGCTGAAAATTCAGTTGTTTACCCACTCTCAAATTCTAACTATTTGTGAGGATAATAGTGGATTGATAGCACCGCCAATTGTAGTTTTGAGAGAAAAAGCAGGTCACCTAAAAATATTGTGCAGCAACTGAAAAATACATTCTGTTTTCCAGGAAAACTTCTAAAGTGAATTGATTGTTGTTATGTAAAGTACTTGGGAGAGCATCATGTACCTGGTAGTCACGACATAAATATTAGTTACTATTAACTCCATGAAATCTGGTAGAAAGCTAAAAGTAGCATCATTTAAATGATTAAAGTTGGAATAATTTATCGAGGGTATTAAGAGAATGCATTTGTACAAAATGCCAGTAGTATTCACAACACCCATACACTATTTTGAGTAACATGACATGCATCAAAGCAGAATCCACATTTTCAACTGGATTCAGCCATTGTGCTCTATCCAGTTTGAAAATCTGAACTTTGAGCCATTTCAGAAGTTGCAAATGCAACGTAGCTTTTTTTCTTTATCTCTTGTTGCAACAAATTAATCTCAATATCTATCTCAGCTCTACATTTTGAGGAAAGCAAGGGCATATGACATGCAAAATAGTAGCCACAATGATTAGAAAACCAATCGGGTAACATTATACTTTGTCAGGCAATTATTTTATAATGAACAAAAGGTTTTTTAAATTCCTTCAAACTTTCCTTATCTGCCAAAAAAAATTCATCAGAGAAGTATATGGTTTCTTCTCTTACCCACTTCACATCCATCAGTCAAAAACGGCATGTAGAAGTTGTTATAAGCCCCACAAAATTTCCTGAATTTAAACTACTCTCAAATATTTCAGTTATTGTTTCATTTACCTGTGCATTTCTATAGCACCAAACAGAAAAGACTGCATAGACAGTTGCCATTTGAAAGGTAAATAAATAAGAAAATGATACAATAAGAACTCATGTCTTAATCCTCTAATTCCCAGTAATGAATATAATATCTGATTTGCCAGTAAAGGCCATGGTCTGAGGAAAGGATTCATGAATCCCAATTTCATTTGTGTCCTGTGACCTTTGACAGAATGACACTATTTCTAAAGGTTGGTGAACACTAAAATAGGCTATGGAGGGAGGATGTGGGAACATTTTGGGGGCAGTTTTCAAAAACAGAGCATTAAACACAAAGATCTATATCACGGAGTTTCAACTGACCAGGATTTTTCATCTGCACCAGTGAAGTGGCCACAATTTCCCCTAGTTTGCTGTGTTTATTCCACCCCAATTGCTGGATTTGGAAATAGCCTGCAACTGTCTATTCACAATAATAGCTAATAGCAGAAACCCTGCCTTCCTCAAAAAATTTCCTGCCTTCTTTCTAGGCAAAGTTTTGAGTTATTTCTCTTTTGCCTGTCTGCAGAGCCCTTGTTCACGCTCTCAGTTTTAATCTAGGCAGATAGTAATATGGAACAGTAATTCTCACTCTTTACCATGCATGAGCATCACAACAAAGTTGGCTGAAAATGTAGATTTCTGGAACTCATCCTGAACCTTCAGATCACAGGTGGGAGTGTCAAGGAATCTGCATTTTTAACAAGGTTCCTAGGAAACTCACATGCAGGTGGTGTAGATCACATGCTTTAGGAAGGAGAAACAGATTCCAGCCTGTTTACTGCTGTCTCTCTCCAGCATGATAAATACAATAGTAGTTATACAGGCAATAAATATTTGTTGAATTACTTATTTAATGGATGCAATAAGTATTTGTCAAATTATTTGTTTAATCATGCTTTACTCTATAGCATTTTCGAGTTTATAAAACATTCTAGGTGCTTTATATGATGACTCCCAAATCTATATACAAATCAGGCCATCCATTAAAGCTCACATTTCATCCTTAAACAGCTCTATTATGCATTTTTACCTGTATATTTCAGAAATTTCAACATATCTAAATACCATATTCATTATTTTTCAGGCAAAGCCACTTTCTTGCATTTCCTTATTTTTTCAACCATGACATTATTTTCTAAGTCACCCTTGACTTCTTTCTCTCATTCACCTCTGTATGCTAAATTCTGCTGATTTCTTTTTTAACTTCCTCCTTTCCCCCAGAGCTCATCAACATTTCTGCTGCAGCAGCCCTAGCTCAGGCCTTTATCAGCTGCCTCCTAAACTGTTAGAATGGAATCTTAGCTACCTCTCTCCTAAGTTACTAGATCAATTGCTAGATCACATTTTCTAACACATACGCTTGACCATATTATCCTTTCACATAAAAACTTTAATACTACCTATAGTCTATGAAGAATAGAGCCCAGTTCCTTTGTCTGGCACCCAAAACACTCCACTATGACACTGGCATTTATAATTTCAGCCTCATCACCCACTTCCCTGTTGGAATCCTTTTCTCCCACAAGACTTCCCTGTAAATGTACCCTACTTATTTATTTATTTATTTATTCTTTGTTTAGAGACAGAGTCTCACTCTTTTGCTCAGGCTGGAGTGCAGTGGCACGATATTGGATCACTGCAACCTCTGCCTCCCAGGTTCAAACAATTCTCCTGCCTCAGCCTCCGGAGTAGCTGGGACTACAGGCGCATGTTGCCATGCCCAGCAAATTTTTTTTTATTTTAGTAGAGTTCGGGTTTCACCATGTTGCCCAGGCTGGTCTTGAACTCCTGAGATCAGGCAATCTGCCTGCCTCAGCCTCCCAAAATGCTAGGATTACAGGCATGAGCCACCATGCTCAGCTTGCCCTATTTATCTATATAAGGCTAAACAACTGCTCCATCCCCCTGTTCCCATCATTAATATGGAAAGGAATCAAGACCCTAATTTGGGACTTACTCTTTCCAGGTAGGCTAAGGTTCCTACTTGGTTGGAAAAAGATTATAAAACAAGGATGTAGGTGGAACCATGATGGTTTTGGGAGCTCTTATATCCCTTTTCTCTTTCACTTTTCCCCAGCTCTCTTGACAATCCTTCTCATTGACTGCATGTGGGTTTGCTGTTTTCACATCAATATGCCAAAGAGAAGAGGTGATTGGGGTTTCTCTCCGGAAACTTACCTGCAATGGGTGGGCTCACCAAGTACGGCACTGCGTGAAGGAAGTACACCACACCAAGCGCTGATGACAAAGAGGTGGTCCCCACTATCTCTGCAGTCACTACTGGGATCAAGGTCACATAGGCACCATCAAAGTAGCCAAAGGTACAAGAGAAAGGCACAAGCAGAGGGAGACTTTGAAGCATTGGGAGGCAGAGATAGCAGAGCCCATCCATTCCCACAGCAAAGAGGTAGCAAACATACTGGTAATTCTTCAGACACCTGTAGATGTGAAGAACAAAAATGAGTACAAGATGTACACATTCTGTAAAATAGCCTCAGAACCACTGCTACGCAGCAGTAAGCCTTGCAGTTATTTATAGCGATACCGTTCCCATTGTATGTTATCTATGCTGTCTTTCTATCCTTCTTTTATGCAAATGTAAGAATTCATCTCTCCAGGAAGCATGGTATGGTAGAAAGAATATATGCTCCAAAATTAGAAAGGCAGAATATTAAAACTAGTTCTACCACTCATTGCCTGCCTAACTTAATTTCTTTAGCTATAAAATGGAAAGGTTATCTATCTCATAGGGTTACTCTAAAAGTAGTCATGAAATAACATGTAGAGCAGGGGTGTCCAATCTTTTGGCTTCCCTAGGCCACATCGGAAGAAGAATTGTCATGGGCCACACGTCAAATAAACTAACACTAATGATAGCTGATGAACTAAAAAAAAAAAAAAAAAAAAAAAAAAAAGGCGGGGGGGATGTGCACAAATCTCAAAATGTTGTTAAGAAAGTTTACAAATTTGTGTTGGACCATGTTCACAGCTGTCCTGGGCTGCATGCAGCCCATGGGCCGCAGGTTGGACAAGCTTGACGTAAAGCAACCAGAGGCTAATTTTCCTAGCAGTCTACCATATTAGAGGCTTTTAGTCATGTTATCCATTGGTATCTGGCACATCATAGATCATAAATACTCAATAACTCAAGTGGTTACACAAAGGTGAAACTGTAATACAAAGACATTAAAATGATTTGCCAGAGATAATGGAGGTCTTGGAATAGGACAAAGTCTTATTTCAAGATTTCTGAAGTGGAATTTTCCCCATAACTTCAAATCCATCTATGATATCCATTGTTTCAAAGACTCTGTATAATGTCAGCTTCAACAGCTTATGCTTTACATTTTTCTACCCAAAGCCTCATTTGAACCTCACAAAACCATATAAGGTCAACAGGCAAATATTGCACTGGCTCATTTTACAGATAGAGGGTAAAATGAGGATCTGAGGGTTAGGCGACTTTCTGTAGGTCACAGTGTTAATAAGGAGCAGAGCCAGCTCAAGAACTTAGGTCTTGTATGCCTCAGACTAGACACGCCTCCATTATGCCTCAGACTAGACGTGCCTCCATTATCTTGCCGAGTTATTTGATTGTGAAAATAGGTACCCTTTGCTCTTCTCCTTCTTCTTTAACAATTAAAAATGTGGAAATAGTACTAAATATTATATTCATAACACTGGAGAATGGCAGTTGGATCCTGATTAATTACCAAAAACATAATTTGTCAGAAGCTACATGATGGTATTAGCTCTGCAGGTCACATCTCAAGTGTGAATAGTTCATCATTTAAGAGAATATGAGTAGCCTGCACTCTTCAGTCCGAACAGATGAGCATTTGCTGAAGAAATTACTTGGTAGATTTCTTATAACTTTGGTTTCTAAGCCTACAATTACAAGGAAATTATTTGCAGTTTGCACTGTCAAACATAAACATGAGACTACAAATAATGTGTTATCATTGCACCTGATCCTCCTGCCTGAACTGGATTCTGCTCCTTTTTCCATTGCTAGTCAATCTGGAGTGATTCAAAAGAAACTAACACCACCACACCCAGCCAGAAGGTGTCTTGCTTGAGGACTGACTTATCTTGGGATGGAATTAAATCCACCACCAGAACTTGTTGTCACCCTAGGCCTCTGCAATTGAGACACATCTGGCCCATAACCTTTTTTTGTATTACCTGTGAACTAAGAATGTTTTTTTATTTTAAAATGGTTGGAAAAAATCAAAATAAAAATATTTTGTGACACAAGAAAATTATAAGAAAAATTTACCTTTCAGTGTGCATAAAGTCTTATTGGAACATAGCCACTCTCTTTTGTTTGCATATTGTCTGGGGCTGTTTTGTACTATAATAGCAGAGTTGGGTAGTTGTGACAAAGAACACATGGCCTACATAGCCAAAAATGTTTACTATCCGTCCCTTTATAGAAAATTTCGCCAATCTGTCATCTAGAAGAACCAGCAAGGGAGATGCCTTCAGATACTGCAGACTAGTTAACATTATTCAGACCTAGGTATTCCACATGGTAAGGGGCTGAGGAGAAACTCAAGGCTTAAAGTCCCCTGGTGGGGAACCAATTGTGGTTTCATGAATTTTACCTTCTGTTGGTCAGCCATCCAAATGTGATGTTGCCAATAATGTCAATCACTCCAAGTATGGACATAAGAAAAGCAGCTTGCTGATGACTCACTCCAACACTCAAAGCATAAGGCACCAAGTACACAAAGAGAGGGCTGCAGCCATAAGCCATAAACAGAATGGAGATGGCCAGCACAACAAAGTCTGATATCAGTAAAAACCTATATTCCTGCTGCAAACAGCAACAAAGGCAAGCCTGTGCCCATTCTTTGGTCAAAGATGAATACGGAGACACCTGCTTCAAGCCTTCTTTCTGAGTTCTACAGACATGGTTCTGCTCTGGAGTTGTGTGGTCTTCTTCAAGAGTAATCGGCCTCATCAAGGCACCACAAACACAGAGATTCAAGACGAAGCCCCCAAGAATGAGTAAGGCTCCCCGCCAGGAAAACTGTTCAATAAGGAGCTGAACCACAGGAGCCAGGATGAAGGTGCCAATGCCACTTCCTGACATGGCGATCCCATAAGCAAGGGCTTTCCGTCTGTTGAAGTACTTGCCAACCATGGCAATAGCTGGAGAGTAACAAAGTGCAAATCCAAGACCTGGGGATAAAGAGAACTCTGTGAGTGCTGGTGTACCAAAACAGCCCATGGGAGAAAATATCTCAGAATGCAATTATTTTATTAAAGAGAATCTGATCTTTCATTAAACTCTTTTAAAGCTGCTTTTTACATCAAGCTTAAAATGAGTCTCCCTTCACCAGTCATTCACAATTTAGAAAATGTAGGATATATATGATTTTCGTCTTAGGGAGTGTACCCTTAAGGAAATATGACTTCATAACCAAAATCAAATGAGGAACATGAAAATCATCATACAAACTAAATTGGAATTCAATAGAAAATTTGGATAATGCCAACCAAGGAAACTGATCCCTCCTCCCTTTTTAAACTTAACTTATCCAGACAATTGCCTAAACATTTCACTGCCTATGAAGACACAACACTGATAATCTGTGACCACTCTGGAATTTAGATTCAAATAGCATATATAACTATGAAAATTCCAGGGTAATTTTACGAAGTTGGGAAACATCATGCCAATTTTATATGTGAACATAGCAATGTATATTTTCATATGTGAAAATACCTCTTAAGGTCAGTAGACAAATGTTGACAGTCTAGAAAGCTTTTTAAAGACCTTCAACTTTTGGCCTGGGTGCAGTGGCTTATGCCTGTAATCCCAGCACTTTGGGTGGCTAGGGCAGGCAGATGACTTGAGCTCAGGAGTTTGAGAATAGCCTAGGCAATATGGCAAAACCCCACCTCTGCAAAAAAAAAAAAAAAAAAAAAAAAAAAAAAAAAAAAAAAAAAAACTACAAAAATTAGCCAGGTGTGGTGGCATGTGCCTGTAGTCTCAGCTACTTAGGAGACTGAGTGGGGAGGATGACTTGAGCCCAAGAGAAAGAGGTTGCAGCTGAGATTGTGCCAATGCACTCCAACCTGAGGACAGAGCTAGATATACCCTGTCTTAAAAAAAAAAAAAAAAACAGTCAACTTCTATTACTTTTTAAGTAAAGAAAATTTGAAGGGCTTTGAGCCTGGATTTTATGGCAGCTAGGATGTCAGAGAAGAAAAAGGAGAACCACCCTCAGAAGCTCCTGCTTCCATCTGCAGTTCAGGGTATCCAGCAACCCAGAGTTGCCTGGACCCAGAGGGGTTTCTGGATGTGGGACTTTCAATGTTAAAACCAGGACACTGCATGGTAAACTAGGATCCATTGGTCACCATAGCAGCAGTCAGGCTCTTTGGGGTTTTTAGGGATGGATGTACCTTCTTTAGCTAACACAGCCAAATATATAGCCTCACTATGAGGTTATGTCGTTTATTGACCTGATTCATGCCACACCAATGGCCCAAAGCCCAGGCAGGAGTTGGTGCTACTCTCCACACCTCTTTGAGTGACGGGCAAACTCCTACTACAGTCCCACCAGCCAACTCATCTTGTTCCTATGCAGTCCCTGTAAGTGTGATTTATTGAATGTACATGTTGCCTTTTTCCCACGGGATTCATTATAATTTGCTAAAGTGATACTTCCATAGCATTGAGAAAGAATGTATAATATAAGAATATTCACAATAAAGGGCTTTTTAAAATTAGAAACTCCCATTTATTGGACAGTGGTATTTCCTATAAAGTAGGAGCAATGCAGATTGACCATCAATAGTATTTTAATGTCTTGGCAATGGTTGGAAGAATGACCATTGCTGAAAATTCATGTTGCCCTGGGTAACATGTTGTTTCTTCTGAATACAGAATCTCAGCCATACACTAATTCCAAAGAGGAAGCTGTGTTGCTTTTACCATCTGGCTGAATTAAATTGGTGATGCATTTTCATTAGGGTAGTGTAATCTCATTTCCAGCTCTGTTTAACTGCTAGGTAGGTAGACATCAGCTAGGCCAACTAAATTATGCATCTAACAAAATGAATATTTTATGAATTAGTTCTCTGTTGGCTTGGCAACCCCTGGATGGAGTAGGGTGACACAAAGTGTCCTTACCTGTAAGAACTCCCAGAGTGAGGTAGAGATGCTTCAGACTTGTGGCAAATGAGCCCAGGATGAGTCCAGTAGATGCAAGCAAGCCACCTAGCATGATTCCCACTTGACAGGATAAATGGTTACTCACAACACTCCCAAGTGGAGCTTCAAAAACAATAAGAAATAGGTTCAACAGAAAAGCCTTGAGAGTACTGTGAAAAGGCTGTGGTGCTGCATTGACACAGCAGAGAACCTTTAAGGCATTGAGCCCACCCTTTTAATTCTGAAGCTTTGGAAACTAAGGCCCAGAGAAAGGAAGTGACTTGCCCATGGTCCCACAGATAATAAGTATCAGAGCTGAAATGGAACTCAAATCTCCTGAGCTGCATTTCAGTGCTCATTCCCCTTCATTCTATCATAATGGCAGGATTGTAGGGTGTTTTTTAAACAGATGATCAACTTTCTCTAAATTACATGTCACTTGTACTGGGTTGTTTACTATAGTATTGATCATATATCATTAGCAATAAAGGTGACAGTTAATTGGAGAAAGAAAGTGGACAACACCATGTGACCAGTAGTGTTATATGGCAAAAAACCAGGGCAAGAGATCATAGACAAAATTCACAATCTGGCACTGCTTTCAGCCTTCAGCATGCCCTGTGGATGAGCTATCAAAGCCCAGAAAATCTAAGAAAAATGCTTCATGCCATGGTGATATTTTGGTTGATCTCACTTGATTTGTGACTTACCAATGTATCAGAATTATGTTGACTTCAAGGCTCATAGAATATTAAGAAAAGCTAGAACAGGCCAAAAAGGAACAGAAGCTCGGGGGTGTATGGAATGCCTAAGGTCACCAACAAAAGCACCTAACACCAAGTATGAGGTTATTTCACCCCCTTACTCTTTGAGTCTCTCACACTAATGGCAGCAGTGATGGGTGAGGAAGCCATGTGAGTTTCTTTCTAAGGAAAAATTTATGCTGACATCAATAACTCTTAGTAGCAAGATCAGAAGAACTGATTCTCTGGGTGTCTGTAGAGTATGATCATTTTTGTATCAATCATACTGAAATTGGGAGCCAACTCAAATGTTAGCCTCTCTGCTCATCACAGAGCAGATCTGTTTCCAGTGGGTGTCCCAGATGTGATTCTGCAGACTCTCATCCATACTCGGAAGTTTAATGTTCTAATACTATGTCACAAAGTGAGTAGATGGGTATATGGTAACTGTGTACAACAGTCATCTTGGTCTTTCATAGAATTTAAATATGTTGCTTCTGACAACCCTCCTCAAAGCTTCACACAGTCATTATAACCATATTCGTCACCTAAGGTCATTTCCTCCTATTTGGGAAATTATGAATTTCCTCCAAAAGATAGCAGTGAGGGAAATGAATCACCTTTATCTTCTGAGAAGACAAACATGGCTTCTTTAGCATGCTGACACAAAGGCTGTGAATAATGAGACCCTGAAAATCAAGTGGTTTAAAAAAAAAAAGATTCTAAAACTCAAATATATGATTTTTTGATCTCTTAAGACATTCTTATTAGTTGAAAGAGTTGAGTTGATTTAGCCTTCTCATGAAACCTGCTTTTAGTCTTAGAACTGCTCTCAACTTCCTCCAAATCAAACAAATATTATACATTTCAGTACAATTCAACTGATTCCTGAGTATGTGTATATTTTTCCAAAAAGAAATATGAGTCAGTACCTAGAATGGAATAAAATGATTATTATGAGTTACTGAACACAGGTGTTATTTCCCTTTTGCCACTAAAACATGGCTTGAGGAGATGAAAATTTCCTAAAATACTCAGAACTCATTTAAATGGAAAGATTGAGTCTAGGCTACAAACAATTTTTGATTCAATCTTAGAAACTCTCTAAGACATCAATTTAATAATGTTAGTTTGAAACTTTTTTTTAAAAAAGTCAGCTTTGTTGTCCTCTACTACATAGATGGAATGTTAATTCCATACATTTCTAGAATACCCTACATGCCTTATATAACATCTTCAGGGTTTCCTTAATTAAATCACAGCCATAATGAATAGGTGAATATGTTTATCTCATGACTATACAATTCTGTCCTTCTCCAAAACTTCTCTAAGCATGAAGATTTATACATGAAAAAGATGAAATCCATCAGTCAAATTTCAAACCCTCAGAAAGGGAACAGAATGCAATCCAAGACTTGAGATGTGATACAACACTGTTGGCACTCATTGAAGGAGATTATATAGAAATAGCTCATGGTACTATCCAATAACTGTATAACTGGAGAATGAGAAGGCCATAGCATTTGGAAGAGAGAAGCCGAGCATACACTCTAAATTGCTTCTAAAATCAGAAATAACCAAATCGTATGTGTTCTTTTGAGTGTATTATGTAACTGGTCTACCTGACATCAGCTAAGACTATCAATTACAAGAGCAAGTCTGGTTGGCTTTGGATGAAAGTAGGATTGGTCTCTTCTTTATATCATGTAGTTCTGGCCAGTTTTTAATGTAGCCCTTCTACTTAGGAAAAACTAGTAATCAAAGTCAGTGGAACTTCACTGTCATATACAGTTCAAGCGTGGCCAGTAATAAGTGATACTCACCACAGAGCATGGTCACACAATCTACAATGGAATGGATCCATGCCGTTTGTGCATAATCCTGAGTGAAGTATGTCTGGAACTCCACAAAAAAAATTGAGATACATCTGAAAAATACAATGCAGGCATTTTACACAAAAAGTGAATGAGCATGCATTTGAGCCAGAACTTAAAATGTTTGGTTCAATTAGCTGTTCCTGTCTCCAAGGGTTTTAATTGCTAGACTACAATAAGGGGGAAGTCAGAAGTTGACTATTTGGATCATGCTGGAGAACAAGAAGAACAAGTGTTCAGCCACCATAGGGGCTACTAAAGCCAAGTAGGTGTGAAGACCATGGTTCTAAGGAAGGTTTTATGGAAACAAAGGCAGTTCAAGAACATGGATTCTTATTTATTTTTGTGTTTTGCTAACAACTGTAACTTCTAAGAGGTTGTTATACAAGTTAAGATTTGACAATAAGAATTATATACCACCAGCAATGTCACTTTTAGGATTTGTATAAAGGAAATAATCAGGTGATGATGATAGGTAGATGAGAGAGAGAGAGAGAGAGAGACAGAGGATATATTATTCTGGAGAACTAATTTAGTCACAAAATTATATATATGCATATGTATGTATATAAAAGAATATATTCTGAGGGATATAATAATAATACATATATAAGAGAATATATTCTGGAGTATAGCCAAATATCATAACCAATCTAACTGTTCATCAACAAAGGACTCGTTAAATAAATTATGGCCTACCAATAAAATAAAAGTTAGTCTTAAAAATGATGATATTGATCTATATTTATTGATTTTGAAATAAATTTGCAATATAGTGTTAAGGAAAAAATAAGTTACAAAATAGTTTATATAGTAAGAACTTATTTTTATAAAAACAGTTTATGTAAATAGAAAATTTCCTGAAAGCATATACACTAAAAATGTACATAATCATTACATGTAAATGGTGAGATTAGAAATGATTGTTTTAATCTTTATTCAGCATTTTGAATTACTTTACAATAAACATGATTTCTTATGTAACCAGAAATGTGTATATATGTGTGTGTATGTGTGCATGTGCAGAGAAAGAGAAATATTTATATTGAAAAATAGCTAATTACTTAGAGAAAGACATATGAACCAGAAGCAACAGTTTGTATCCCTGTACAACTAGGAAGAGGTTTATATGGATTAGCATGGTGTCCTCATTCAGGCAAGAAGCTTTTAGAGCCCAGTGGTAAAAGGGGAAGAAATCAGGCCTGTGGCTTGGGGATGAAACAAGAGGTCATTAATTTCTTTGGAGCTAAGTTCCAATTAATTGTGCTTTAACAATCCATAGTAACCTATTACTTTCACTCTCCCTTTCTTCTCCAGTTGCTGCTGGGTGTGAAAGTAGGTGGGGAAGAGCTTGGAGAAGAAGGGAGAGAACATAAACAAGACCGCTGTGTTAGGCAAGGACAGCTTCTTGGGTGTGCAGCCTGCACATTCACGCAGAGCCTGGCACTTAGAAGCACAAACCTTGATTTAATGCTTGGCTGTCACTGACTGAACTTAATAATTTTATATTTGAATTTGTGTTTCATAAGTGCAGTGCAATGGAACAACAGAGACTTCATGTGAGCAGAGGAGTTACACGCAATATGTGTTTCTACAGTTCTGTGATGCACCATTCACACATAGTGTTAAAGATGTCCCATAACATAGCGTTCTGCTAGACCTATGATTCAAGGGAGTTCAATTAAGACTCAAAGCCAGTGTCAGGTAAGTGTGTTACATCTACAACTTAATAAGCTTGAGGATAGGGAAAGAAGTGTCTACCCACCCCAAGAGGCTTTCTAGTGTGCTCTCCCAACTCCCACATTCTTTAGTCTCAATAGTTCAGTCCTCTAGGAAGGTGTCCATGACTACTCAAGTCTCTCTTTTCTTAACTCTTGTGTGTTTCAACTACATGCTGGACATTTATCACACTGTGTGGCAATTCCCTTTGCATTTGTTTATATTCACCAGACTGTTACCCTGTGACAGTAAAAACCATGTCTGTCTTATCTCACACTGAATCCCAAGTATCTAGCATACTACCTGTCATGTACTTGGTGTTCATAAGGGAAGCAAGCCAGGAAGGAAGGAAAGGAGGAAGGGAAGGAGGAAGGATTAAAGTTGTTAGAGGAAGTGACTATAAGACAAGGATGTGACAATGGTTGAGTAGCAACTTCAAGAACTATGAATGAGAAAGGAAAGAAGGAGGAAGACTGGATGGTAGTTATATAGGAATGTGTGGCTAGGTGAGGTAAAGTAGGGATATGAACAAAATGAGTGTTATAAGCTGAGCAAGTAAATCCACAGATGGTGAATCCACCAGCAGAAGCTGATGATGTAAGAGGAACACATGATGTCTAAGAGAAAAGGGCCCCAGTGAAGATGTTTTCAAATTATAAATCATAATCTCTTCTTTTCACTAGGTTGTTTTGGGGATTAGTATTTGTGTAATCATGTCTGTCCTTTGTCACTTTTTTAAAAGCTTGCTTTGTTTTCTGCCTGCTAGTTTTCTTATATGACTTAATTAGTCATATAAGTCAAACTTTAAATATACTGAAATCAAAATTAATATCTGACATTCTTGTCTAGACATGCAAGCAGGCTTAACAAAGGCAAACATTCTAATAACCACATACAGGCTTCTGAATGATTGTGACAATCATGAAATATGGGAAGAATACTTATCACTTCTTATCTGTTCTCAAAGGGGAAAAGCACCACATAACTTTTCAAGTAGTAGTTTTATGATCTTAAATAAATGAAATTTTATTGGGAGCATGTGAGCATCTCACTCCAGAAATTATGTTTGTTATTTTGGTTGTTCTTTGGAATCTTTGGGCAATTACAGGGGAGCAGGGTTCTGATCCCTGATCCTCACCCTAGGTAACTGAGAGTTTTTGATAAAGCTTCTTAATCCCTCAGGGCCTCAATTTCCTCATCTCTAAAGTAAGCATTTTGGTAAACAAGACTGCATCAGTCAGAATGGGCTGGATTATGCTGTAGTAGCAAATGACTCCTAATAACTTTCAGGGTTTGTAGGCTCTGTTCATAAGAATGTGGAAACAAAGTTATCACCAAGTGTCTGTCACCTGTTATGAAATGACATTCTCAAAGATAGCTTCTCCCCGGGGGTGGGAGGGCAACATGCTTGTCGTCTCAATCCTGCCACTCTGCTGTAAAATTTTGCTCTGGCTTCTATGCAGTGAGTGCTGACAACATCTGGCATTTCATAAAGATTTTTCTCTGGTTGAGAAAGTTATCCACTAAGTCAATACAAGAATTGATCCACTGGGCAGTGCAGCCTAGTGGCTAAAATTCTGCCACTTACTAACCATGAGACCTTAGACATGTTCTTCAACTGCTGTGTGTTATGAGGATTAAAGGATTTAATTCATAAAAAAATGCTTGAAGATGCCAACAAGCACAATGTAAGTGCTCAGCTAAAGTGAGCAATTATTTATGGGAATTCAACTATTGTTAAGAGAGTTTGAAAGAACTCCACAATCCCATAAGATTCTAGACATATATTGCAACTAAGTTGATTTAGACCCAGTAGACTTAGAGAAAAATAGGTCTCAAGCCTGGAGTGGGGACAAGGTTTTGGACATTTACATCAAACATTGCTTTTTAAGTATCAACTCCAACTCAAGTGGCCAATCTATGGACAGAATAGCCTGCAATTACACATGAAGTGCGATTTTTTTTATTTTTTTAAATTTTATTTGAAGTTCTGGGTTACATGTACAGGACGTACAGATTTGTTACATAGATAAATGTGAGCCGTGGGGGTTTGCTGCACCTATCAACGCATCACTTAAGTGTTAAGCCCAGCATGCATTAGCTATTTTTCCTGATGTTCTCCCTCCTCCCACTCCCTACCCCAGACAGGCCCCAGTGTGTGTTGTTCCCCTCCCTGTGTCCATTTGTTCTCATTGTTCAGCTCCTACTTATGATTGAGAACACAGAGTGTTTGGTTTTCTGTTCCTGTGTCAGCTTCCTGAGGATAATAGCTTCCAGATCCATCCATGTCCCTGCAAAGGACATGATCTCATTCCTCTTTACGGCTGCATAGTACTCCATGATGTATATGTACCACATTATCTTTATCCAGTCTATCACTGATAGGCATTTGGGTTGATTCCATGTCTTTGCTATTGTGAATACGGCTGCACTGAACATATGTGTGCATACATGTTTATGTTATAATAGAATTATTTATATTCCTTTGAGTATATACTCCATAATGGTATTGCTGAATCAAATGATATTTCTATGCAAAAATTGACAAATGGAATCTAATTAAAGAGCGTCTGCATAGCAAAAGAAACGATCAGAGTGAACAGACAACCTGCAGAATGGGAGAAAATATTTGCAACCTGTCCATCTGACAAAGGTCTAATATCCAGAGTGTACAAGGAACTTAAACAAATTTATAAGAAGAGAAAACAAACAACCCCATTAAAAAGTGGGCAAAGGACATGAACAGACACTGCTGGAAAGAAGACATTTAGGCGGCCAAAAACATAGGAAGAAAGCGCAACATCGCTGATCATTATGGAAATGCAAATCAAAACCACAATGAGATACAATCTCACACCAGACAGAATGGTGATTATTAAAAAGTCAAGAAACAACAGATGCTGGTGGGACTGCAGAGAGATAGCAACACTTTTACACATTTCACAGGAATATAAATTAACCATTGTGGAAGACAGTGTGGTGATTCCTCAAAGACCTAGAACTAGAAATACCATGAAGTGTGATTCTTTTTTGTTTGTTTTTTCAAAGTAGGGAAAACTATTTTTTTGGGCACCCACACACACACACATACACACACACACTTACAAATGGTTGACCTCCTTAATATTTAAAGTGTTTCTACAGAGCAAGTATAAGAAAACAAGCAAAGAAATCCAAAGAAATACAGGCAAAAATTTGATATGCCAATTCTTAAAAGAAAAAATATGACTAATGAATATATAAAATGGTACATATCCAAATGAAGTGTGATGCTTAAGGGGACCTCTGTAAGAGGAATTTGGAGACATTTATTTCCTTGGTACTATGACTTCTCATTGCTGATATGACAGCTCCTTATAAATTAAGAGGTTGCCCATGTTAAGACAATGACTGCCATAACCAAGGCAGTTGTTTTTAAAAACTTATGTCTTATAATACACAGCTGTTCTAAAGGATAAGCTGCAGAGTTTGCATGTGTGTGTGCGTGTGTGTGTGTGTGTGTGTGTGTGTGTGTGTGTATGCTTGTGTGTGTCGTGCATATCGAGAGGCAAGTAGAAGTGTGGTATATGTATGAGAATAGGTTAGGAAACTAGTTATGTATTGGAAAAAATAATAGTGGTTTCTGTGTTTGTGAGCGTGTGTGTGTGTGTGTGTGCGCGTGTGTGTTTCAAGAGTCAATTGATTATGACTGTATGTACAATGACAAATAAACAAGATGAGAAGGAAAAAAAAAAAGAATTTCAGTCCAGGTCTGTCCTACTAGACAAAAACAAATGTAGGCAAGTCAATCTTTCTGAGCATTAGCATACTAATCTCTTAAATAGAGGGTAAATAAATCACAAGGCTCACATGAGACAATGTGATTGGGGGACTTATCTTAGTCTCTCAACCAAAAGCACTATGGGCAGCTCTACAAAAGTGCAACTTTATCATGAATACTCAAGATTCCAGTATGATCCCTCCTTCTAAAGCATTGTGCCCGCTTCCAGAACTTTCTCATCATGGGAATGATGGAAGCTTATACATGAAGGACCAAGATGAAAGGGATTCCTTCTAGCTCCATGACTTTCTCAAACCCAGAACACAAGACTCATACTATAGGTGAGTTTTACAGACTTATATTATAGACTCATAATCTAGACCTCTTAATGTCCAGGGAGTTGTCATATCAGTGATGAGAAGTCATGATGTTAAAGGGATGATTGTCTCCCAATTCCTCTTACAGAGATCCTCTTAAGAATCATACTTCCTATATGACTATCCAGTTCTCCCAATATCATTTATTTATTTATTTATTTATTTATTTAACTATACTTTCAGTTCTGGGGCACATGTGCAGATCGTGCAGGATTATTACATAGGTATACATATGCCATAGTGGTTTGCTGCATCCATCCCTCTGTCACCTACATTAAGTATTTCTCCTAACGTTTTCCTTCCCCAATACCCCCACCCCCTGTATTCCCTCCCCTAGTCCCCCCACCCGCCAACAGGCCCCAGTGTGTGATGTTCCTCTCCCTGTGTCCATGTGTTGTCATTGTTCAACACCCACTTATGAGTGAAAACATGTGGCCCACCACCACTTATTAAATAGGGAATCCTTTCCCCATTGCTTGTTTTCATAGGTTTGTCAAAGATCAGATGGTTGAAGATGTGTGGTGTTATTTCTGAGGCCTCTGCTTTGTTCCATTGATCTATATATCTGTTCTGGTGCCAGTATCGTGCTGTTTGGTTACTGTAGCCTTGTAGTATAGTTTGAAGTCTGGTAGTGTGATGCCTCCAGTTTTGTTCTTTTTAATTGGGATTGTCTTGGCTATATGGGCTCTTGTTGGGTTTCACATGAAATACTTAAAGTAGTTTTTTTTCTAATTCTGTGAACAAAGTCAATGGTAGCTTGATGGAGATAGCATTGATTCTATGAATTACTTCAGGCAGTATGGCCATTTTCACAATATTGATTCTTTCTATCCATGAGCTTGGAATGTTTTCCATTTGTTGGTGAAAGTGTAAATTAGTTCAACCATTGTGGAAGATAGTGTGGCAATTCCTCAAGGATCTAGAACCAGAAATACCATTTGACCTAGAAATCCCATTACTGGATATATACCCAAAAGATTATAAATCATTCTACTATAAAGACACACGTACACATATGTGTATTGCAGTACTGATCACAATAGCAAAGACTTGGAACCAACCCAAAAGCCCATCAATGATAAATTGGATAGAGAAAATGTGGCAGATGTACACCATGAAATACTATGTAGCCATGAAAAAGAATGAGTTCATGTCCTTTACAGGGACATGGACGAAGCCAGAAACCATCATTCTCAGCAAACTAACACAAAAACAGAAAAACAAACACCACATGTTCTCACTTATATGTGGGAGTCGAACAATGAGAACACATGGACACGAGGAGGGGAACATCACATACCAGGGCCTGTTGGGGGGGTGGGAAGTTAGGGAAGGGACAGCATTAGGAGAAATACCTAATGTAGATGACAGGTTCATGGGTGCAGCAAATCGCCATAGCACATGTATACCTATATAACAAACCTATATGTTCTGCACTTGTATCCTGGAACTTAAAAGTATAATTTTTTTAAAAAAGAAAAGCATCACACTTCAGCTGGGCATGGTAGCTCATGCCTGTAATCCCAGCACTTTGGGTGGCCGAGGTGGGTGGATCACCTGAGGTCAAGAGTTCGAGACCAGCCTGACCAACATGGTGAAACCCCATCTCTACTAAAAATACAAAAATTAGCCAGGCATGGTGGCAGATACCTGTAATCCTAGCTACCCAGGAGGCTGAGGTGGGAGAATCACTTGAGCCCAGGAGGTGGAGGTTGCAGCGAGCCAAGATTGGGCCATTACACTCTAACCTGGGTGACAGACCAAGACTCCATCTCAAAAAAAAAGAATTGCATTTCATAGTTTTTTTGGCTCTAGGTCTGTGAGGAATTACCACACTGTCTTCCATAATGATTGAACCAATTTATATTCCCACCAACAGTGTAAAATCACTCAGCATCAATTACATTATTTTAAATAAATCTGTAATTTATTATGACACATAATCAACCAACCCTTACTGTAGCGAATATAAACATCTTGTTCTATCCTGCATTGTATCTTTGTTATGGAAGGAATATTGATGCCTGTATTGATGATGCCATCAGATAATTAGGCCAAATTACTTTCTTGTAAGGGTCTGCTGTCAGAGGAGAGAAATAAAGATTTCTATTTGAATGAGAGCACTTGTAGAGGAAAGACTAACACATGTAGGTTTCCAATGCATATTTACTCCAAATATAAATGAGATGGATGAGTCTCAATGTACATGGATCTTAAGCATATTCAACACTGTGACCTTGGAGAAAAGAAAGAGGGAGAAGAGAGCAGGCAAGAACAAGAGAATCCCTGTATCTATGCTTTCGCTCTCCTTCAACCTACAAGTCAGTCTTCACCACAACAGCCACAATGCAAAATAAAGCAAAATAATTTAAATTCTAGGTTTTAAGCTTCCAAAGGCTCAGTGAGCCCTAGGGAGCCAAGGCGTTTTCCAGGATTATTTTGGCCTTGGTTGAATATATACCCTAACTCTGTGTAAGATTAACTGTGCGATATGTTCACATATTCACTGTAAACTTTATGATCATACTCTTGTCACCTGGCACTCCTTTTCCTCATCCCTAGACTTAAAGCCACATCGCACCATTATGATGATAATCTCTTGCTATCAGTTTGCCCATGGTGTTTTTCTTGATTTATGAAATATAGATCACACATCCTATTAGCTTTGTAAAACTTTAATGAATAAAATCAATCTTAATTTACACTTATCATCAAAATGACAGATTTTAAAATTCTGGAGAAACAGACTTGCAGAAATGATATTACTCTCCCCTGGAGCTATGCCAGCTTTAGCTAACTTACCTTTCCAGGTGTGCAGTTGCCAATAAAATCTTCAGAAAAGTGATTTCATTATGAAAATACTGTAGGACATTTCCCATGTTATTTCATATGTGATGAGTTTTAAATATTTCATATTAATGAAGAGTGAAAAAGAAATACATGTTACATTATTTCCACGTCTCTGGAGCTGCTTATGAAAATGAATGGCTGGAATGGTCACAGCATTGGTCTAAAAATGTCCTAAGACTCCAGGTTTAAGTACCAGATATTATAGAAAAGACCACTATCTGGGACTCCTAAGTGCCAGAGAATCACATACTTTGCAAAGAAAAAGATACTTGATACTTGAGCAGGCAACGGAAACACACACACACACACACACACACCCCTTCACAATGATGGATTCAGAAACAGAATGAAGGAGATTTAAAAGAAAAGACAGGGCTGGCTGTGGTGGCTCATGCCTGTGATCCCAGCACTTTGGGAGGCCGAGGTGGGTGGATCATGAGATCAGGAGATTGAGACCATCCAGGCCAACATGGTGAAACCCCATCTCTACTAAAATACAAAAATTAGCTGGGCATGGTGGCACATGCCTGTAAGCCCAGCTACTTGGGAGGCTGAGGCAGGAGAATTGCTTGAACCAGGGAGGAAGAGGTTGCAGTGAGCTGAGACCGCACCACTGCATGCCAGCCTGGTGACAGAGCTAGATGAAAGAAAGAGAGTGAGTGAGATTGAGAGAAAGAGGAAGGAAGGAAGGAAGGAGGGAAGGGAGGGAGGGAGGGAGGGAGGAAGGAAGGAAAGAAAGAATAAGGGAGGGAGGGAGGGAGGGAGGGAGGGGCCAGGTCATCTTCGTAAGTCAGGAAGAAAATTCTACCTACCTTGTGACCGCCCGGGTGCAGATGGTAACAAGAAAACAGCCAGCCACAATCATCCAGCCCCAGCCTCCATCTGGAGGGGAGGTAGACCGAGCTCTGTGTACTTTTGCCATGGCTTTTCTTTTTTCTTCTTTTCCAGGTTGCTCCAACAACTAAGTTATAATGTTCAAAGAGTTTGCTGTCCAGTGACTTCCTGTTGGCATTCAAGGTTGGCATAGAGTGCTACGTGGCACATGGCTTACTCGCCATCTAAAACCAAAAATCAGGACATATTTATACCTCTTTGCTATGTTCAAAGGTTGATTTTTTTTTCACTTGGTAAAAATTGATCATTACTTTCCTATTAAATATGATTATTTGTAACTATGAATACTAGACTGAGGCAGGCCATTTGTTGTTCTTGGTATGTGCTTTATTTTTAAAAAATATAATAGAACTTCTCAAATTTTAGTCAAATGCATGTCTACTCTATTTGATACCATTTTTCCCTAGCCTCTCTTGAACATAGTTGCGGCAACAAAGGGCAGTCTCCATGAAAGGGATGTGAACAGAAGTCATGTGTGCCACATCTGGTTCATCAACTCAAAGGCAAAGGTACTTTTCGAGGACTTCCAGCACCCTCTTCTGACAGACTGGAAGATGGATGTGGATATGAAACCACTTAAACCACACAGACCAGGACATCTTTCTAGGGGCTGGAAGCACTACAAGACAGAAGCAGCCGGGGTCCTCAGATGACTCTGGGGAGACCTGCCCTCCTACTCTGGACTCTGCACATCTCTTCACTGTTACACAAAAGATAAACAAGCATCCATTTTATTTGTGCCTCTGTATTTTGGAGTCTCTCCGTTACAACAGCTTATTCCATAGCCTAATTATTATACTGAATGAGTCTGACAGCAACTTCTTAACATTTTTAAAAATGCTATGTTTAAGTGTGTAATTGAAGTAAGAAGAGAATGACAAACAAACGAGACAAAGTAGGGAGCCAAAAGCTAGTATATAATATTTTAATACAATCTAAATAAAATTTTAAAAATCAGTGAAGAAGAAAAGTATTATTCACCACATTCTGTCCAACTCTCCATTTAGCTCTTGACCTTCCAGATAAATTGATAAATTTAGAAAAATAAAGAAGTAGTTAAAAATCTAGGTGAAAATATAGGCAAATATTGATCTGTTCTCTAGATAAGAGAACTCCCTGAGACCAAGATTTTAAAAATTGTTAATTTGTCTAAATTAAAATTTGACATTTCTGTATTAAAACATGTGATTAATAGACAAAACCAAAAGGTATGCCACAGGCTTGGAAAAAAACATTAGCAATACATACTTCAAGGAAGTAACATCTGCATTCATTCATTCATTCATTCAACTGTAAATATTTACTGAATCCCTAACATGTGTCAGGCACCATTTTGGGGCACTAAGCATTCAGTAGTGGTCACAATACACAAAGCTCCTTGTGGTGGGCAGGCTCTAAGTTACCCCTGTGGTCCCGGCTCTGGGTGTTCGCATTTTTACGTAATCCCTTCCCTTGACTGTGGGAGAACCTGTGACTTGCTTCTATCCAACAGAATATGGCACCTGTGATGGAACCTGGCTCTCGTAATCACGTCATATTACATAAGACTCAGGCCTGCTGGCCACTCTCACCCTCTCACTGTCCTTGAAGAAGCAAACTGCCATGTTGCATGCCTAGGAGAAAGCCATTTGGCAGAGAACGGTGGATAGCCTGTAGATGCTGAGGGCAGCCTCCAACAGACAGCAAGAACACCAGAAGATCTCAGGGCCTTTTGTTTTTCACTTCTTTGCCAACATCCCAAGTGAGTCTGGAAGCAGATTTTCCCCTAAATTGAGCCTCCAGTTAAGGACAGTCTCACTGACAACCTGACTGCAGCTTTGTGATATCCTTAGCCAAGGACCCAGCTAAGCTATTTCTGGATTCGGGCCCCGCAGAAACTGTGAGATAAGGTGCTTCTTTAAGGTATTCCACAGCTTGTCAAACAGGCTGCTAAATTAGAGTCAGGGATTAATTTTTTGAGAGGAAAAAGAAGAGTTCCAACACCTACTTTTTCTACAGAATCGAACAAATTACCCAGTTGCTTTTATAATTTTGTTGTGATCACTGGAGGAAATCTTAACATTAATTAAATGAAATGTCATTTCAACTATGACAATGTATGGGTTATTTGACAAACAAAAACTATGTACTACCTGATAAGTTATGGGCAAAACAAATTGCCTAATTAAGAAAAAAAATAAAACATTTACTTTAAGACCACAACTTTCTCAAGAAAATGGCTTACAACAGAAATTTGTAAATGTGCATCTTTGAGGCCACTGGAACAAACTGGTGGCTTGTGATTTCAGAGAGTACATAGAGAGCAGGGGTGGTGAGGTCAAGGTGAAAAGAATGATTCCCACACATAACACTTAGGTTTGCTCTCTTTGAAGCCTTAGGCCTCCATCTTCATCCTGTTAACCATTCAGTGACTTTGGGGAGACTGACAAAGGTGATCAAGTGGACAACTGAAACTATAAATCTATAATTATAAATTTAAAATTTATAATTTTATACTGAAATTATAAATCTATAATATCAAAAGTATTGGGAGACCAATACTGGAATAAATACTAAACCTACTGACAAAGAGAAAAATAAAAGTTACTATTGGAAATGATAATATTGCTAAACACTGGCCTGGTGATTAGTAATAGCCAAAATACTGCTGTTGGGGCTAAGTGAAAATAACAATGATATAGAGCTGCTGTTTACAAAGCACCTGCCACAGGCCAAGTTCCTAGCAAGCATCACTATAGACAGTAACTCATTTAATCCTTAAAAGAACAAAAAAGAATAGGTATTTTTTTATCCTTATCTTATAGGTAAAGAAACTCAAGTTAAAGAGGTTAAGTAATTTGCCTTATTATTTTTTACATAGTGAAGCAGCAAAAATGGGCTATGAACCCTGGTCTGATTGCAAGGCCAGTTTTCCTAACCAATGTCCTGCACTGCTTCTACTACATTTCCTTATTCCTTGGTATAAATTCATAAACATTTTTGTCTAATTATACACATAATTCTTACTGATGACACACCAGGAGGATGATGTGAATTATAGGCTGACGTAGCTATAAATACAATTCTTTAAATGGTACCATTGGTATTTCCCTGAACCATGCTTGGTCACTGACTTGACTTGGAATTTCAGAGCAAAATTAACCCTCTAAAGGTGTCTCTAACACTCTGGAGCTTCAGAATAAATTTCTCCAAAATATAACTTTGAGTCATAAATAAGTAGCTTTAACAGTCATCTACTTCCTTCCCCACAATGAAACACTCAAGGAAAAACTCTTATTTTGAAAAACTCTTATTTTGAATACATACCTGTATTTTTGCTTTCACACACAGCCTGCTGGAGCAGACAGAGCTGGTAGGCCATCTCTTCCTCTATTCCATCATAACCCTGGCTTTGTTCGAATTCAACTCTATCTGCTGTTTCCAGTGGCCATCTGGGCCCAGTCCCTTGGTTCAGGAAATGGGTTTGGATTGGTCTCCCATTCCCATGTCAGTCAGTGATGAGGCACAGAATGGGAAGTAATTCTAGCCAATGAGCTATGAAGAGAAGTCCTCTGGGAAACGTTTCCTTGTTCTTAAGAAAAGACATGAAGAAGAAACAAGCCTCTCTTCTTATAGATTCTGGATGTGATACCGGGATCTATAGCAACCAACTCTTAACTGTGAAGGACACTAGCTTGAGGACAGTCAATAAGCCAAGACCCAGATGAAAATAACCTGGGACCTTCAATGATGTCATTGAGCTACTGAATTAACCAATTATGCAGCCACCCTCTCTAGCCTGTTAGGCAACACAATAGATTCTACTTTTTTTTATTTTTAGATTCTACTTACTGTTGGGATTAGTTGAGATTTCTGCCACTTCTAACAAAAGAATCCAAACCTACACATTAGCTCCAACTGCATGTCATCCCACACCATGTTCAGTGATGTAACTTTGGTGACTTGAAACTGACCATGGTGGGAGTATTTATGCCACAGGAATCATAAATGGGTAAGCTACACATCAAAACTTTTTAGATCCCCTGAGGGAACCAGTTGTTAAACATTTACTAGCACACCACTGCAACTTCAGAGTAATTTAAGGTGTATACAGCAAACGCTGCTATGAAATATTAAGGCAAGCCAAAGACTAAGAAAGAGTTTAAGTTGCTAGCTAGCAACTTAACCATAAGGTAATTTGTCTGTCTTCTAAGGCAGAGTTTGGCAAACTACTATCCTCAAGCAAAATCTGGCAGCTGCCTCTTTTGGTAAATAAAATTTTATTGGAACACAACCATACACATTTGCATTTGCACACCTATTTACATTTGCCTTTGGCTGCTTTCAGGCTGCAGTGGCAATCAGAGTACTTGCAACAGAGAAAATGTGACTCACAAAGCCTAAAATATTTAGTATCTGGCCTTCTACAGAGAAATTTCGCAGACTTGTTCTAGAGAGACATGTTACACTAATCTGCAGAATAAAATGCCAATATTTGGGAGGATGGGGTGATATGGATATTTATGACTATGGTAGCTGAGTGGCTTTGTGGAACAGTGACATGAAGCAGCAATCCAAGGAAGATCTGGGTTCTGACTCTCCATCTTATGAGTTACATGAATTCAATCAAATTGCTTTGTGTCTCTGAGGCTCAGTTTACTTATCCATAAAATGGAGGTAATAATGTTACTTTCCCAAAATGTTGTATATATCAAAATGAGAAAAAAACATGAGGAATATGTGACACAAAAATGTAGATATTATTTGCCATGTGATTTAAATTCTTTTTATTTGTTCATGGCTCATTAATTCAATAGCTATTGAGTGTCCGATGTGCACCAGAAACTATTCTAGGAGCTGGGCTATGAGTACTGTAGAAAAGAGACAATACCCTGCTTTCATGAAGCTCGCATCCTAGTGGGACAGGCAGTTCATAAACTGTTGAATAATGGCTTCTGAGCCTCAGCTTCCTTGTTTGTACAGAAAATTACCTTCTGTCTACTTCACAGAATCATAGTTACAGTCCAATGAGAACACCCACAAACCGGCAGCAATGAGCAAATCAAGCTTCAGGACACTTTTATTATGCCTACAGTGTTTTTTAAATGTTTACATTAGTTGGCACTTGTAAATATCAGATATTATCCAAATTTCCAAATTCTTTTGAAAAATTACAAGCTCTAAA